CTTCGTCCTCTGCTGGATGCCCTTCTACGTGCTCAATATCGTCAACGTGGTGTGCCCGCTGCCCGAGGAGCCCGCCTTCTTCGGCCTCTACTTCCTGGTGGTGGCGCTGCCCTATGCCAACAGCTGCGCTAACCCCATCCTCTATGGCTTCCTCTCCTACCGCTTCAAGCAGGGCTTCCGCCGGGTCCTGCTCCGGCCTTCCCGCCGGGTGCGAAGCCAGGAGCCCCCAGCCGGACCTCCGGAGAAGACAGAGGAGGAGGACGAGGAGGAGGAGGACGAGGATGCAGAGGAGGGTGGGGAGAAGGGGGCCGGGAAGCAGGGGGACGCGAAGGAGATGAATGGCCGGGTCAGCCAGATCACACAGCCTGGCACCAGCAGGCAGGCACGGCCTCCCAGCTGTGTGCCCGGCAAGGAGCAGCAGTTCCTGCCCCAAGAGCCTTCCGGGGGGGAGAGGCCGGGTGCCCTGCACATCAGCTGTCTGTAGGGCCGGTGGAGGGCCAGAGTGGCCCAAGCACAGAGCACAGGCCGTGGGTGTGCCCCGGGCCTGCCACCCAAGGTGCCAGGGGCCCGTGATGGGCTGTTCAGATCCCACTGCTGCTGAGACTCGCTGTGTGACCTCCGACAGGTCACTTGCCCTCTCTGGGTCTCGTGTTCTCCTCTGTGACTCAGGGATGGGAGTCATCGGTCTAGATAAGCGCTGCCGGATGAGAAGGCTGGAGGGACATGACCGCTGGGCCGACCCTCCTGAGGGGGGCCCAGGTTAAGGGGAGAGGTGCACACTGGCCGTCCCCTTCAGAAACAGAGCATCCAGGTGGGTTGGCCTGAGTCTGGGTCCTCGGCGGATAAACCAAGGCCTGGGTTTCCTGGGCTCAGAGTCAGGTTCATAGGAGAGGGGCTGGGGCCCAGGTTCACAGGGAGCTGGACCAGCACCCCCCCAAGCCCCCAGTAGAAGAAAATCTTGCCCCGTCGGGGGCGGGTGTGAGGCTGCTCAGGCCCGCACCAGCTCTCCCCTATTGCCGGAAGGCCTTGAGGCAGCTCTTCTCTCTGGGCTGCAGGCCTCACCTGCTGAGCAACCCAGTAACCTCCAGGCCCTCTTGCCAGACGGTCGGGCCAGGACTCCTGTGATCCTGCACTTGAGAAGAAGCAGATTTTCCAAGAAGCTCGTTAAGTCCAGCTGCAGGGTCCCTGGCTGCTTCGGCCCTCTGAGTCCCTGAGCCTAATTTTGTACCTGGAATTTTGTATTGCTTTTCTTAAAGAGGGACCCCACATGCGTAAGCTTAGGCCACCGAAGCCTAGCTCAGGTCCTGCTGAGGGCAGCCCACGAATCCCCAAAGCAGCTCACTTTGTGTTCGGAGCCTGGAGCGGGGAGGGGGGTGTCTCTGGGTCTGTGAGAGCTCACAGGAGAAGCGTCCTGTGCTTCCCCTCTCGCTGACCAAGGCAGGGACCCGACCAGGAGACCAGCACGGAAGGGCAGAGGGTAAGACAGTGAGTGCTGAGAGGAGGAGGAAGAAGAGGAGTTGGGGAGGGCAGGAGGGAGGAGGAGGAGGGAAGGAGGACGCGGGTGGAGGATAGATCTGTTCCATGAACTTGGAGCTATCCTTGGCCCCTCTGGACTGAGCCCAGTTGCTGCATCAGTGAAACTGAGTTGCCTGGCCCAACAGTCCCCAGAAAACGATGCCATCAGGTGGGAGAGCAAATGCTCTGAAAGGCACAGGGCCAGCCCCTTGAGGCCGATCAGTGCTGGGAAGAGGGGCTGGGCCTGGCCTGTGCTGAGAAGCAGGGCCTGGTAGACCGGAGCCGGCCTCTCGCCCTCTGAATTCCCCGGGCTGCAGGCTGGAAAGGCCCAGGGTAGACAAGACAAGACAAAAACGTGGGACCACAGGGCCCTCTCTGGTTTGGCTCAGTGGATAGAGTGTCGGCTCGTGGGTGGAAGGGTCCTGGGTTCGATTCCAGCCAAGGGCACATACCTCCATCCCGGCCCTGGTCAGGGCACATGCGGGAGGCAACGAGTCCGTGTGTCTCTCTCATGTTGCTGTTTCTCTCTCTCCGTCTCACCCTTCCCTTCCACTCTCTCTAAAAATCAATGGAAAAAATATCCTCGGGTGAGGATTGACCACAACAACAAAGGTGGGACGACAGGGAGAGACCACTGCCCAAGGCTGGCCTGGACCGGCCTGGACTCCCTCCCCCAGGTGACCCCTGAGAGCCACAGTGAGACCAGCCCCGGGGAGGGTGGTACCTCTGGCTAAATCCCCCAAACCCTCCACCTGCAGGGGCAAGGGGTCCTCAGGGAAAGCACACAGACCGCAACTTGGGGGACCCACATCTTCAACTCACCTCAGATCCTGGCCAGCCGCGACCTCTCCAGGCCTCAGTCTCCCCATCATAAAATGGAGGTGGTTGTCCCAGCTTGCCTGCCTCCTTGGATTTGGGGAGGACAATAAGTCACACCAGGTAAACTGCCACACACACTGTAAGGGGGGCGTAGTGACCCCCTTCTCCTTCACCTCTGTATCTGGGCCTTGGGGGTGAGGACATGACGAAGGTGGACTTGGGGATCAGAGGCTCAGGGAGACAGGGCCTGGAGGAGTGTTTCGCCCCCTTAGGGGACGCGGGGGTCCAAGTGCAGAGGCCGCCCCACCTTCCTGATTCCTGGGGCAGGGAGGGAAGCCTGTTCTGCAAGGGTGGCTGGGAGGCCCCTTAGAGAAATTCTTTGCCGCTTCTGCCCCTAGCTCTCATCAATAAAGATGGTGGCACATGACAACAGCCATGATCTGGGTCAATTCCTTTGCCAGGTGCTGTGTTGTGTGTCTAGATCGGTGTGCGTGCGTGCGTGCGTGTGTGTGTGTGTGTGTGTGTGTGTCTAGATCGTGTGCATGTGTGTGTGGGTGTGTGTATGGGCGTCCATCTCTATCAGATGCTCCCTGAATGCATCTCAGCTCTGTGTGCCCAGGCCTCCAGGGGACGTGGAAGATGCCCCTGACAAGCCTCAGCCTGTCATCTTACAGATCTTGATGCAAAAGCAGCAGTTATGCTTTCTTCCTGTATCCAAATCTCAAATCTCATGGAAGGAAGCTGATTGGTCCCAACTAGGGCACATGGTGGCCCCTTGGGCCAATAACCGAAGACAAGGTGATAGAGTGCCAGGTGTGACGATTGGCCAGGTGTGGGTCATGTGACCATCCTCCCAGCCAGAGAGAAGGTAGGACTCTGTGATGAACAGTCTGGTTGACCAATGGCGTGGGAGTTGGGTGGGGGACAGTCTACAATGGCAAAGGGAGACTAGCCAGGAGTATCAATAGCAGGCTGGGGTGGGGTGGTTGGGGGGTGTAAGCACAGTTCAGGTGCATAGTAGGTGCTCAGGACATCTCAGCTGTACCCATGAGCATCCAGCGCTGTGTGGGAGGGGTGCCCAGGCCAGGGTCTTCCCCCTCACCCCCACCCCTGCCCACAGCCCCGGAGCTTCCCCACTACATGTGTGTCACTGCCAGGCTGAAAGCAGAGAAATACAAAGCCTGTCTTTTGGGAACCAGGACCAGAGAGAAAGAGACAGTTCTTTTTCTAAAATATATTTTTATTGATTCCGAGAGGAAGGCAGGGAGAGGAAGAGGATGAGAGAGAACGGTTGATCGGCTGCCAAAGAGACAATTGTCAATCCCCCCCACCCTCCTCACTCTGGAATTGCCTGCGTTGGAATCCCAGCTCCTCCATTCACTGCCTGTTTTCCCTTGAGCCCGTTCATGAAGCTTTCGGTGTCTCGGTTGCCTCTTCTCCGAGATGAGGACAAGAGCACATGTCTCTATTGTTAGGAGCTTTAAATGGGTTAATATTTACAAGCAGCTTCGAACAGTGCCTGGTGCACTGTAGCTGCTATGTGTATGTTAAATAAACGTGGGAAGTGCTTTAAGCAGAAGCAAGAACCCATGCATGGTGGGGTGGACGTCTCCTCGGGAGGGTATGGCCAGCTGAGTGCGAAGAGGGGAGGAGGCGTGGGAGACAGTCAAGGTGCTGAGAACAGCTCTGATACCCATTTTACAGCTGAAGACAGTGAGGCCTGCACAGGCCATGTGACGTGCCCAGGGGCAGCACCAGAGGTAGGAGCAACAACCCTGTTTTCCTAGCCGCCAGCCCAGTGTCTATAGTTTTTTAAAACTACAATAATGAGGGTCGGGGTATCAGGAGTGATGTTGGGAGTGGAGAGAGCTCTGAGGCCACTGCTGCCAGCTCCTTGGTGGCCGTTGGGCAGTGGCAGACAATGCTCTCCGGCATGACCGGCAGCCCAGGCCCCACGGGACCTCAGGCGCCTCCTACAGGTCCAGCCACTCCCCAGCAAGCCCTGCAGCCTTGGCAGGCCAGGGCAGTGTGCACACAAGGACGAAGGGCTCATGTGTGTGTGTGCGAGCGTTGAGGGCCAGACCAGCCTTCACTTTTCACGGGCTCAAAGAAAGTCAGGGCAGTGGCACACAAGGACGAAGGGCTCATGTGTGTGTGTGCGAGCGTTGAGGGCCAGACCAGCCTTCACTTTTCACGGGCTCAAAGAAAGTGCCCGAGCCACACTTGGCATTCTCCAGAGTCCAGGACACCTCAGGTCTTGGCTCAGGCCCCGGGGACACAGCCTGTAGGCAGGCAGGAGCCCGTGCCCTCCATGGCCATCTTGTTAAAGGGGAAATGAGGCCTGCAGTGGGACATGGACTCTTCGTGCAGCGCTCTGCTCTAATGACCAGGAAATATGTCAATATTTGCACATGGGAACTGCTGGTTCTGTCGCACTTGGTCAACATGCCCAGAGCCTGTTTGGTTTCTTTATTTGTAAGAGGAGGGTTGACTCTGAGCTCTGGCCTTCTGCCTGCTCTTCACAAAGGGCAGGTCTCTTCTCTCCGGGCATAATAAATGGCAGCCATTACAAGAGGAACAAAGAAAACACAATGTCCATTACAGTGGCACGTGAACTCTCAGCCACACAACCAGGTTCGAACTCCAGCGCTATGTGCCTTTGGGTTGGCCTGGGAACCTCTTGGAGCCTCAGTTTCCTCATCCATAAAGTGGGCTCCATACCCCCATCTCACAGAACTGCTGCAGGCCCCGCGGAGGCCAGCGCTGTGCTCTGTGGCCCGCAGGGGGCGCCAGGAACCTCCCTCTCGCCTCTGGGAGCCCAACGCCGCTCGGCTCGGCCAGACTCGGTTTCATTCGTCCCCAATCGGATCCGTTCGGTCAGACTCGGCAATATTCGGCTATCCTCGGCAACACTCGGCGACACTGCGCTCTGCTCGGCCAGCTCGGCTCTGTTCGGGTCTGTTCGGCTCCTCTCCACGCAGGACACAACAAAGGCCCGGCCCAGCGCGGCGGGTCCGCCCTCACCCCTGCGCGTCCGGGTTCCCGTGTGCAGGCCCGGAGGCCGGAGCTGGGCCGCATCTCGGCGGTCTGGCCGGTGGTGTCCACGCAGCCGGGTCGGGCTTAGCTGAGCCCTGGAAGGTGCGGAGCGAGGCTGCGGCCAGCGGTGGTCTTTTCCCAGGACTTGAGGACGGAGTGGGCGGCGATGGAAGGGCCTGGGGTGGGGGAGTCACGCCCCTTAGTTTTGCCCAGCGAGCCGGCCATTTGCGTGGGGAGGGAGCCAGCTGCTGCACCTGTTTCCCTGAGCCTCAGTTTCCCCCTCTGACAATTAACAGGGTCCGGAGGGCCTGGGACGGCGTGGGCCTCTTGGGGACTCAGTTTCCTCTTCTGTAAAGTGGGGCAATTCGCCCAATTCGGGTTAGCACCTGTTGAAGCAGTCATGGGTTGCAGAAAGCCCAGGATGGAGAAACTGAGCCCAGAGAGTGAAGTCCACCCAGTTAGTCAAAGGAGGGGCGAGGGAGAACTAGGGGGCGAGGGAGCCTGCCCTTGGGAGAGGGAGGTTCCCATCGGGCCTCTGCCCACCTTGCGGGAGTGGGTTTGGAAGGACAAGGGAGGGAATGGGCGCCCCAACCAGCCCTGCGCGTCTCAGTGGGTTCTTCCTCCCCCTTCCCCCTCCCCCCTCGCCCTCGGCTCCCTCAGAAGGTGATGAGCCGGGTGGGATGGGAGCATCCCTGGCCGACAGGCGCGACCGCCTGTTCTCTCCGGTTTCCAGTTGGTGGCGCTCACGGCTTCCTTTGTTTAGTCTCTGAATTGGTTGCTGCCCTTGAACAGCTGGATCAGTGACTGGCCAGTCCCCACTCCCCTGGCTGGCCCCAGGAAGCATCTGGGTCTCGCTCACTTTTCTGACAGGCACACGGTTCCCAGGGCTTTGCAAGCACTGGTTCAGGGTCACTGTGTTAATACCTTCTCCCAGCCCATGGCTGGGGGTGGGTTCTGAGTGTCTGCGTCTGTGCTTCACTCTCTCATCTGTGCGCATCAGGAGAATGGGCCCAGCCCCTCCTCACACTCAGAGTTTAACCAAGGACCAGCCTCGAGGGGCGGCCAGGATAGCGTGCCCCCGGCGGGCGTCCCACCAGGCTGCTCAGGTGGCCTTGGCTCCCCCATGTCCCTCCTGCTCAGAGACACCGAGGCTCGGAGGGAGGAAGGCATGCCCAAGGTCTCACACGGAGACGGCAGGCGGTGGAGTTGAGACCCACCCAGGCTTGTCTGCCCCGGGGCTGCAGCTCTGTCTCCAAGCTGCCCGGCCTGCTGGGGGGCCAAGGGATGTGCACAAATGGAGGGGTTTCAGGCAAGCTGGGAGGAGAGCCAGACTCAGTTCAAGGGAGTGGAGGACAGATATGAAAGTGTAATATTTTTGAGTCCTGCTCTCTAATCTGCCCTGCCCCCAGCCAACTGCCCTGCACCCAGGGGGACAGGGGGCTGTTTTCTGGGGCATGATGTGACTGGGGGCCGAAGGACTTGGCCGAGAACCTGGCGAGTCAAGTGCCTTCCCAGGGCTCAGTCTCCTCCCCTGTTAAGTGGGGTGAGCAGCTGTCCCCGCAGAGGGGCGGTTGAGTGGGCACAGAGCACAGTGCTGGCCACATAAGAGGCCCTGACAAAACCATTCCTGTGTCCCCCTCCTGCTCCCCACCCATTTGTCCTTCCCTCCCCCCTTTCTCAGAGGCGAGGCTTTTTAAACCAAAACCCAGCTGTCTCCCCTTCCAGTGCTGCTGACTCAGCGCTTTTCCTGCGTGGGGAGGGCGGGAGTGACTCCCTGGCCCTGTCCCTCTGCAGCCCTGGCTCTGCGCCCCGGGAGTGCTGCCGGGGGCAGGGCCACACGGAGGGCACAGCCAGTGTGGACCTGACCGTTTTCCCAGGAGCCATAGTCTTTTCGTCTGGGACCCTGGGGCCCCTAAATAAGGCATGCGGGGGGGGCCCAGGTGGGCTTGGGAGGGAGAAGCAGCAGAGCTAGACGTTGGGAGAGTCTGGCTGTCGTCCCAGCTTGGACTCCTGTCTCCTGTGTGACCTTGAGCCAGACTTGCCCTCCCTGGATCGCAGTGTCCCTGGGGGACATGAAGGAATTGGATTAGATCATCTCTAAGCGTCCTTCAGGCCTGGACAGTCAGCTGTTGGTTATCTCCCAAAGAGGAAAACAGGCTCCGGTGAGAGCTGGTCCAGGCCACACAGCCCAGCGGAGTTCCGTCCTCCACGCCTGGCTCACCTGCAAGTGGCGCTGGGTGGGTTTAGGGCCCCGAAGACCAGACTTCAGTAAATACCCAGAGTTCTCTGCACGCCTGCACCTCCTGGGGGTGATCATGTCAACCCCTCTCCCGGCAAACCCTGAACGGCAGCCTTTGCCCACAGCCGTGCCCATGTGCCCTCGTGGGAACTCCAGTGGGATGGAGAGCACTTCCGCTCTGTAGGGTTGTGGTTCCTTTTCCGCAGCTGTGTGACCTGGGAGTCACATCAGCTCCTTTCCCAAGGCCGGGGTAGGGCCCCCTCAAATCATGGGTCTGAAGACCCACTGGGTACCGAAGCCCCTGCAAAGAAGAGGCCTGGACAGGCAGTAAGTACGGAACAAATGTAGAATGAGCGTGGCCGGTGTGCCTCAGTGGTTGAGCATCGACCTATAAACCAGGAGGTCACTGTTTGGTTCCCAGTCAGGGCACATGCCCAGGTTGTGGGCTCCATCCCCAGTGTCTGGGACATGCAGGAAGCAGCCGATTGATGATTCTCTTTCATCATTGATGTTCTATCTCTCTCTCTCCCTTCCTTTCTGAAATCAATAAAAACGTTTTTTTAAAAATGTAGAATGTGAGGGTGCTGGGGAGCAAGGGACATGGACCGGCTCTGCACTGGGTTCTCTGGCTGCAGAGAATCGGGGCTGCAGCCTTTTTAAACCTCCCTTAGCCTAACCAGAAGGAAGCCGAGGCAGGACCCTGTGAACTGCTGGGGGGCATTTCCCCAGGGGCACTGGCTCTAGAAGACCAGGAGGATGAATCAATCATGGCAAAATTCTAGTGGAGGAGGAGGAGGAGGACTTTGGCACCCATTGGGATGGGGGTTTTGTCTGGCTGCCACCCTGATAGCCCAGCAGGTAATGCCTTCACTCAGCAAACCTCTCCTGTGCCTGGCAGGGAGGGGGCTGGCACTGGAGTTCTACAGACACCTAGGGTGTCACGAGTGGGTGGTGGCACCAGAATTGGAACTGAGGCTGCCGGGCTGGTGCCTGTGCCCTCTCCCCTTTTCAGCTTAAGCTGGGGGCCCCCAGTAGCAGGATTCCAGAGCTGCCTCCCCTCCCCAAGCAACTGACCCCCTCTCTCCCCACCTCAGTTTCTCTGCCAGCACATCATGGGCCTCCGATTGCCTCCTGGCGCGGACTTTTTGGGCCTCTGAATCCAACAAGACCCCACCAAAGAGTTAAGCAAAGGAAATCCAGAGCTCCCATTATCTGGGCAGAACCCAGCGGCTGGAGGGGAGGGAGCAGGGAGGAGGGGACGTGGGAAGCCAGCTCAGCCCTCTTCCTCCGCCCTCCCTCCCTCCCTCTCGCCCTGCCTCCATCCCTTACTCCCTCCCTCCTCGGCTTGGCCTGGGGGTCTGGGCCAGCAACCAGCTATTACTGCAGACATGGGCCAAGGAGCCAGAGGCTGACCCGAGGCCTGGGGTCTGTGAGCGCTGGGCGAGGCTGCGGGACGGAGGGTGAGTGATGGAGGTCCTGCATTTCCCACGGCAGGGCCGCCCACCCCCAGAGGAGGCTGGGGTCAGAGCCTGGAATTCCTCTCCTCCCTCCTGGCTTCCTGGACACATCTCGGGCCCTGCACCATTCCTCTGACGCCCCGCCAGGCCCTCCAGGCTCTCCCTTCCCCATCCCCTCCTGTGACTGAGGCCGTAGCCCCTGGTGAAGGGCTACCCTCTGCTGCTCCTGGCTTGTGCCCACCCTGGTGGGCTGGGACGCACACCAAGTCTGCTCTGCGGGGCCTGGCCCTTTCCCCACCCCCAGGAGACCCCAGCTCCTGAATGGAGGCAGCAGGGACCCCCTAGCCACCCCCAGGGGCACCCTCCTCCATGGCCAGTCAGTGATCCAGGCTGTCACCATTTCTTTTGTTTAAGGCCGCTTTGCTTCCTGTCCCCAGGCCAGTTTGTGTCTCAGCGCCTTTGACTGGAGCCAACAGATAGGTGCCCAAACGGGCCAGTCCCCTGGAGGAGCCCTGCCCTGCCCTGCCCTGCCCTGGGAAGAGGTCACGCCGGGCAGAAGAAGTAGCAAACTTTTTATTAAGAGTCTTTTGCAGGTCAGCCAACTTTGCTGCGCTTAAATCTCCCCACACAACCAGGCGGCGGGAGGTGGTGGTGCCATCTCCTTGTAAGTGCCAGGGAGCAGGCACGCCAGCAGGTCCAGCCACTAGTCCCAGGTCTCCCCGCGTGTCAACGAGCCTGGGACTTCACGTCTGACTCCAGGGCCTCACCTTGTCCCATGAGGCCACATTCTGGCCAGGAAATAGGGGATTGTTGTTTTTCTCAAAACCACTGGATGTGCAGTTTACAAATGAAAGGTGAGGGTGAGCATCGTGGACAGAGGATGCTGACCTGTGTGGACTTGACCTGCCTTACAGAGCAGAACCAGGACACGGGGCCAGGGGGCCAGGGCTGGGGGCAGGAGCTGGGGAACGGACACCTCCAGGAGGGGGTGATGGCTGGGGAGGCTCCCGGGTACCCCCTCGCTTCTGCTGCTAGCCAGCCCCGGGGAGGGGAGGGGAGGTGCTCAGGAGAGGGCCTCTGCCCCTTTAAAACCTAGCTCTCACCCCAGTGCTCAGAGAGAGAGGGTGGTGTTTAAAACAATACCTCCTCTAGGGGTAGTAACCACAGAAAAATATTTTTGAATTGTACTAAATGTTAAAGGGGAACAAGAAAGGAAGTAAACAAAGAAACGCCAGAAGCGTAAAAACCAGCCTGGTTTCAAAAGCCGAGTTTCTGATCCTGCGATAACTCAGCGCAGCCCCCAAAGGCGGCCGCCACCTCAAAGGCTCCTGCCCGGCTTCCTGCCCGCCCAGCCGGCCTGCCTCCCGCCCCGGTGTCCGGGCCGCTTCCTGCCCCTCTCCAGGAACTCTGGATCCCTCCTCGCTCGCCAGGGCCAAAGCAGGTCCTCACAAAGCCTGGACTTCTCCGAGCCTTTCAAGTTGCCAGGCGCCCTAGTCCTGCCCCTTCATTCCAATTTACCACCCCGGCAGCTTATTGGCAGGTCCCCTGTGATTGACACAACCACTTTCCAATGATTGAACTCTCGCCCGAGGCGTCCCTGCAAGGATTTGGTGTGAGGTTGTGCAGGTGGTTGACTGCACAGAGATGCCCAGGGGAGGGGGGCTGGCACCAGCCCGTGCCAAGGCCCCTAGTCTCTGTGGTGCCCCCTCTCCTGTGTCTAATGTGCCTCCCCCTCCCCCTGCCCCAGGAGCGCCCTGTCCCTTGCAGGAAGGCCCGTGCAGGCCAGCAGTGGCTGCAGCAGCGACTCCTCACTGCTCCACAGTATAACCGGCCCCCACGCAGAACCCCGTGTGATCTCTGATGGAAGTTGCTACCTGTCTGCTAGAACGAATGAACTTTCCTCGCTCCTTTGTCAGGACCTCGTGTTCATGTCCTGAGTCCCCTCCCCTGCAGAGCAAGCCTGCGGGATCCTTTGCGTTTGTCCCAAGGGCCCTCTCACTTCTCAATGGCCAGAGAGAGCAAGCGGGGAGGTGGGGGCTGGGGAGGGGAGGCATATGACGGTCTCAGTGGTTCTGGCCCAGGGGCAGCTGGGGCGCCTTCCTCACCCACCCCAGCTAAGGTCCCCCAGGAGCCTCCCCTGCCGGGCTGTGGCTCTCTCTGGAGGGACCTTGCGTGGCAGCGCCTTCAGAGATGGGGATCCTTCCGGGAGACTCAGCCTCTAGGCCCTGCCCTGCCGGCCACAGTCTCTGGGACCTTGGGGAACTGGCTTCTCTGCGTGGACCTCAGTGTTCTGGTCTGTTAAATGAGGGCCCTGGCGCCCTTCCCCGAGTGATGTCGGGAATGCACTTGCTGTGGGTGGCAGTGTGTGAAGTTAGATAGACTGTCTGTTCCTCCTTCCCCGCTCCAGGCCGCCATGGGGACAGCCACCCTGGACCTCCTCTGGACAGTGCTTCTGCTCCCTCTCCTGGTGTTTGGGGTCCCCACCGAGGAGCACACCTCTGGGGAAGCGGTGACCTCCAGTCCCCCCGGGCGCTGCCGACGGTGCTGCGACTCTGAGGACCCCCTGGCCCCCGCCTATGCTGCCGATGAGTCCGCGGCTTCTCCGTCCTCCCTCCCTTACGTGTGGCCTGAGGTCAGGCCCTATATTAACATCACCATCCTGAAGGGTGAGTACCCGTACGTGCCTCAGGCTGGACTGGCCTGGCCGGGGACATGGAGGGCATGGGGGTGTGTGGTCTCTTCCTGGGCCTGGGGAGGGGAGGTGGAGGAAGCAGGAGAAACCAGGACAGACAGTTATTCCTGACCCCTTCGTTCACACATGAATTAAACACCTACTATGTGTCAGGACTCTTCTGAATTCTGGGGCTGGAGCACGAACAGATCAGAGATACCTACCACCATTGCCCTTCCATTCTGGTGGGGGAGGCAGACAGCAATAAGCATACTGCCCAAGTTAATGAGATACAATGTTTGATGGTGACAAATGGCCATGGAGATGACAAGGTGGGGCAGGGTAAGGGACATGGGGAGTGCAGGTCTGGGGGCAGCTTGCCTATCAAGCTGGATGGTCAGTTCTCACTGAGGGAGAAGCCACGTGTATGTGGGGAAAAGCATTCCAGGCAGAGGGAACAGCACGTTCAAAGGCCCTGGGGTGGGAGTGGGCCTGGGGTTTTAAGGCGCAGTGGCAAGGGAAAGAACTGGGGTTGCAGATGAAGCAGGGCCCGAATCAGACTTGGGTTTCTCCTCTGAGTGAGATGGGGCGCAGGGGCAGGTTTGAGCGGAGGGAAATAGTTGGGATCAGGTCCCTCAAGGCATAGGTGGCCACCTGCTTCTCGTGTTCAAGGTCAGCCTGGAACTAGGGCCAGGCAGAGGCATGTCTGCCTGGGGTCAGGTGAGCCTCTGCCAGACGCCCGGGCAGGTGGAGAGGGGCCAGGCAGTGCTAGGTGAACGGTCCTGCTTCGTGTTTGCAGAGTTTGCAAAGCACTTTCCCACGCGGCATTTGCTGAGGGCTCGCCTTTTCAACAGCCAAGACCCCAGCTAGGGCTGGGCACACAGCTGGGTAAAGCCAGCCAAGGGCGGCCTGGCTCCTAGCAGGGGGGCTTTCCTTGGGTACTTTTCTTGGTTCCTTCTTTGGGTCAGAAGTGCAGAGTGCACCCCGCCACTTGCCCATCCCCCCTGGAGTTTGGCTTCATGCAGTGTCCCCCTTTTCTGGTGGGGAGCGGGGCTGGGCCTGCCTTCCCAGAGCCCACAGCGGGACCTTCTCTGCTGGGAAGGCGCGGGGATGGGCGGGTGTGGAGACAGACTGGAGGCAGAGCCCTGCCTCTCCTGCTCCTGAGCTGTGCGACCCTGGGTGAGTCACTTAGCCTCTCTGTGAGTGGAAATGGTCGGTGTCTTCTTTAGAGGGACATTCAGGGAGGCCATGCCTGGAGGGCAGTAGGTGCTCCACAAATGCTGGTTCCTCTGGCTTTTCTTCTCTGGGCAGGGGCAGAGCCCTCCACAGTCAAGTGGAGGTGCCCCCTTCATTCAGGCCCGGGGGCCCGGGGGCCTGCCCTGACTTCTCCCTTGTTCCCACAGGTGACAAAGGGGACCGAGGCCTGCTGGGCACACCTGGGAAGCTGGGCAAGGAGGGTCCCCGGGGAGAGCGAGGCCCCCAGGGCACCAAGGGTGACAAGGGGCAGGTAGGCAGCCCTGGCAGCCCGTGCCAGACTCGCTTCTCAGCCTTCTCCGTGGGCCGCAGAACGGCCCTGCACAGCAGCGAGGGCTTCCAGCCCCTGCCCTTCGACACGGTCTTCGTCAACCCGGACGGGCACTTCGACATGGCCGCCGGCCACTTCGTGGCCCCGCTGGGCGGCCTCTACTTCTTCAGCCTCAACGTGCACAGCTGGAACTTCAAGGAGACCTACGTGCACGTCATGCACAACGAGGAGGCGGCCGTGATCCTGTACGCGCAGCCCAGCGACCGCAGCATCATGCAGAGCCAGAGCGTGATGCTGGCCCTGGCGCCCGGCGACCGCG